TTTGTTCCTGAGACATGGCTCGGTGGTTTCATTTGTTCCTGAGAAGGAAGGGGAATTAAGGGTTTGAATGCCCTGATGGTGAAGAATGCCATGGGGGTTGCAAGTATTTTTCCAGGACTGAAGTGTGCCCTCAAAAAAAGCACAAGACAGCCTTCAGAACTAGGTATTGTCACTGTAAATTGAATGTGATGCCTTTTGGTGTGGCTAACACCCGTTCTATCTTCCAACGCTGCTTGAACATCATGTTCGGTGATGGTCTTGAGACTTTTGACCTCTTCGTGTTCAACAAGACTCTGAACGAGCATGAGGAGTATCGACACAAAGCCCTAATGAAAATGAGAGAAAATAAGTTCAAGGTAAACCCAAAGGAGTGTGAGTGGGCGCAGAGACAGGTGATGTATCTCGGTCATGTCATAGATGGAAATGGAGTCTGATGAGATGACTCTAAGATTGCAGCCATTAGAGACTGGCCAATGCGGGCATAGTTGCACTTATTCTTAGGACTGGCCAATTCTTACAGAAAGTTTGTTGGAGTATTCACCACCATAGCTGCACCACATCATAGACTGCTAAGGAAGGAGGCTATTTGGTTGTGGGACTACTTCCCTTGATCGCTTAAGAACGTGAAGAAGGCATTGATTGAATACCCAGTTTTGAAGATTGCAGATCCTTCCTTCCCACTTGTGGTGATCACGTATGCTAGCCAATACGGGATTGGGCTATATGACATCCAAAAGATGGCAAGGGCGAAAGCCTAGTGGAGTGTGTCCCCAAGAGACTACCATCATTGATAAGTAGCAGATTCTTCATATGAGCCAGAGCTGTCTGCTCTCTGTGAAGCCCAACACACCTCGTGACATCATCTCCTAGGAAGGCATTTCTATGAGCCAGAGCTGTCTGCTCTCCTAGGAAGGTTATTCGGATCACAAGACCCTACACTGGTTAAAGACCAGCTCAAAAGTCGTCAAAGTTGTAAAGGTGGGCTACAGTGTGATAGATCAGTTTGACTTTCAGCTGAAACGGGCAAAGGGGAAGTACACTGTTGACACGAAACCATTGTCTAGGAGAGCAAATTTCTTGGGGATGATCAGAAACGGGCAAAGGGGAAGTACAATGTTGACACGAAACCATTGTCTAGGAGAGCAAATTTCTTGGGGATGATCACTATCCACTTAGATACCGGAACAGACGCAGACGAGTCGAGATTATCATCAGGGAAAGTAGCAGGTTCTACCTATGAGCCAGGGCTCGCACCTAGATAGCGTTCAGGACACACTCAGAGGTCATAGTAGTCAGGACCCACACCTGGATAGCGTTCAGGGTAGATACCAGCCCTGTTGTAGGATTGCAGGCTGCAGTGACTTTCTCGCCAAAGGACAGGAGCCTCCAGTAAACCAAGCACAGTGGAGAGGCAGTGGTACCGCAGCCTAAGTGAAGTCGGAGGCTGAGTGGCAAGAGTATATTCAGGCACGTTGAGAGAAGTGGAAGCGGTATCTTACCCGGCATTCATGCTCTGCCTGGAGGGTGAAGAAGGCCTCTAGCTATAGAGTAGGAGGAGGATGACTCCGAGGCGAACTGCAAGTCCGAAACGACGCCTGAACAGACAAAAATAGGACAGCAAATAAATAAATGAATGCTGCCTCAAGTTGAAACCTGCGGCCCTAAGGTCAGCCATGGGCCTCCAGGGCACACGTCTGAGGTGTGTGCGGCCTGGGGGCCCCCAGCAACCGGCGGCCCCCCAAAATGGGGCCCGTGTGCAGGCTCAGCAATGCCATGTAACAAGCACCAAGGAAGCTCGAGGCAGAGTCAGGCATGGCGCCCTGATAAGCAGCAACCATAGCTGCTTTTTGTTGTCCTTTGCACTGGAGGGCAGAGCCCGTAGTAGTCCGCCATATCCTTGGCATGTGAGAGAAGAAGGGGAAAGCTATTGCTATCGCGGACCTGTTGTTGTGTTGGCAGTAAGAGGGAACTTCAGATATTGATTCTGGTTCATCCACTCGTTGTTATTATTATTTGGAAGAAGAATAAGATTGGCGAAGATGAGGAGGAAGGTGGAGAGAGGGGGGATTTGTCATTGGTCTTGCTGGTGTACATCTTCTTCTTCTTCTTCTTCCTCTCTCTCTTCTTCTTTGGTCTCTATCTCATTGCAAGTACTTTCATTTCTTTCGCAATTGGGTGGTATTGTCTTTCCTTGTGAATTTGCACTTCGGAAATGACCAGGATCATAACAGGAGAGAGATAAAGAGCGGAATAGAATAAAAAGAAGAGTTCAACAAATTGAAACAAATGTCTTCCTCCTCGCTTCTTCTCCCTTTCATCTTCTTCTCGCTTACTCCCCTTCCAATAACGAAATAAATACAACAACAAATGCATGAATCAACAGGAATCATGTTCGAGTAGCCCTCCTTTCAGCCATAACCTCAATTCTCTTCAGGAATCATGTTCAAGTAGCCCTCCTTTCAGCCATAACCTCCTCCTCCTCTCTACGTTGGATCAATTGGCAGGTCATCCATGCTCATCATAGATGTTCAAAGGACAAAGCAAGCACTAGTACGCCTTCATGCCTATCCCATCTCATCCCACCATAGCCACAATCTCGGATGGAGTCCAAGACCAGCCGGAACCCACACAGGGGTCTTCTAGATCATGCCAACCAAAGAAGTGACGATGAAGTCAGTCATAGCCAAAGGTGAGTCTCGCATGTCAGTTCCTCTCTCTCTCCCCCCTTCTCATCCTCTACAGTCTTCTCTCACTCTCCTCCATAGCCTGGCATGAGGCGCATCACTCTTTACCTTCATGGCCTAGGCCTCCGGTCTGTTCGGACAAAGGCCACACTTTGGGCGTTGTTCGCTCGCAGGCAGGCCCGTTTGGGCCAGGTTCGTGCTCATCCAGTAGCGCACGTCCCTGCTGCATCAGCAGGGAGGGTCTGGACATCCAGTCGGGACCCAACCCAGTAGGGCACATTTTCGGCCTACGACCACAGGCAAACGGAGGCACACCCGCGAGGCCCAGCGCTACTTATAGCTGGGCCAGGCCAGGGCGGACACACAGTTCCGAGTAGCTCACTTCTTGGACGACACGCTGCCGGAGCAGTGCTACAGCGCTACACTGGAGGTAGAGGTAGAGATGTAGGTAGGGACCAAGGCGGAGGCCATACCTGCGTCGGCGGAGATCCGACCTGGGTGCCATAACTGGTCTTCGTGCCAGTGCACCTGCAGCACAGAGGATACACGCGGCGACAGTTAGTACATGGCAGCAGTTACCTGCAGGTGAGATAGCAATGAGGACAAATTTTTCTTCTTCTTTTGCCCTCCATCTCTCGTCCTTCCTCCTCCTCCTCCTCCTTTTTCTTCAGAGAGAGAGAGAGGTTACAGGCAGAGGTTACATCGGGCATAAGGCCCAGGATCTGATTCGACATTTTTACGGCAGACATTGATTGGACATTCGGCTGGGAGACTATTTTTGGACTTGCTATTGTGATCTTGGTCTTCTCCCTAACCTCATCTTCGGCTCGCCTCTCCCCCATCTCTTCATCCGTGGTATCTCCCAATGTGCACATGCAAGGAGTGACCTTTCTTCCATGTATTTGGTCCCTCCTCCCTCTCTCACATGTGTGGTGTATGATGGGATGTCGCGTCAGTCTCTGATAGGTCAGGTCATATTTTTGAGTCTTCCGTTATTTTCATATGTATCTGGATGTACATTGCTTGTTGATGCTTTGCTGACGCTGCATTGTCCATTCGAGTCCTTTTCATGACTTTGCGGATCCTTGGCTCCATATACATTGTTCAACTGAGCATGTATCAGAGCGGCACTACCCCAACTGGGGCCTTCCAGATGCAGCGCCTATCAAGGTGATGAAGATGGTGTCCACCATAGCCAGGTAGGTACCTCGCCACTCTCCTCCTTCGCCCCCTTCTTCCTCCTCGGGCTGAGCGCTCAGCTGCTCTCCTTCCTCCAGGCAACGCTCTGAGTCCTGGCTGCCCGATCAAGCACTACGTTGCCAATCCTTGTACACCACAAATGAGGAGGAGCTACTTGCTCCTCCAGAAGATATAGCGGCCTACTTGCCTCTTGGGCGGTGACTTCCTAGGCCGGGCGACCTCCCAGCAACCGGAACCTTTTGGAGGGAAACATCATTGCAGGCTCTGATATCGTCCGTACAGGCCCTAGACTCAGGCTACTTCGACTGGTACCGACCTACCTCTAGCCTACCACTACTCGGCCTCTAAAAATGCCAACTTTTTATCTTGTTCTGCTCGGCCTCGACTATCCGACTCTTCTACCACTACGTGAGTGGTACCGGCCTACCTGCTACTTGAGTGTTTTCCCGCTGTTCTAAGTGTCGCGGGCCTACCCCCGCTACCTGAGTGTTTTTCCCACTGCAACCCTCAAAATCATGGCCACAAGTACGTACCGGCCCTGCAGGGCCTCCAATCGAACAAGTACCCTTGCGGGTCACACACACTCAGGCTGGCAAGTACTCAGACAGGCACGCAGACCAGCAGGCACGCAGACCAGCAGGCACGCACACAGAAAACGCAGCAGAATGCGGGAATCTCAGCAATGCATACATTCCAGCGCCAAATCCCAGAAAGCAGCAGTGTTCTCAGTCTGTATTTTGGCGGGTCGTTGCAGTCCACTTGTTCTTTCGAGTTCAGGAAGTCTTGCATTTTCCAGCAATTCAGTTTTCCAGTATGAATGTAGTAGGATAATGACACAGAGAAGTAGCTGAGCAATTACTATCTTGTGGGAAAGGATGTGTTTTTTCAATCTTCTATTGATAACTCGTCATGCCAATGTGTGGAGATTTGTGCTGGCATCATTAATGGGGCTGCTGAGAGTTCCACTTGATTTTCCATCTCCCCTGCCAGTTTCACTTGCCCAATTTGTAATTCGCTGTGTGAATATTTGTGGTGGGCTCATTAATGGCCCTTCAGTTTCCAGAAGATTTTCTCAGAAACTGTGTTCCCTTTGCTGTGGTGGTTCCACTTGTCCAGCTTGTCATCATGGAGCTATTGACTCCCCAGAGCTCAACACAGCCATCGCTCGAGTCTAGCTTGCATGGTAATCTACGTCTTCATCTGAGTGTAATTGACAAGGTGAGTGGGCAGACCTGTTTCGTTCTGTGGTCCCAAGATTTGTCAAAAGCTGATCAACCATGTGGCTGAACAGTATAAATTACTGTACACATATCTGTCCATGTACCGCATTTGCAGATGATAAAAAGAGGTGGTAATCCACCAGTTCGGTCAGTAGCTTGAAAGTTAGCCAATCAATTAACAGAAGAGGCAGTGACATATTGATCTGACTGTGACCATAGGGGCACTCAGGCAGTGTTGCACACCCTGACCATCGGCGACCCTTGACTGGTCCGCTGCCGACCCGCCGACCACGAACACCCCCATACCAACCCCAAGTACCGTATCTCCTTCTCCTCCTCCTTGAGGATGGTCTACAGGGTTCATAGCACCACCATGAACAACGGGTCGTTTTCCTAACCATCTACTTTGCCGTGCTTTCCTAAACTTATGCTTACCATGCTTCTCATTTGGAACAATACCGATGGTAGCTCAACATTGAGAATTTATGGACACTAACACGCCTGAGGGTAACTGCGACCTGACGGTTGCCTCATTTACCTCATGCTTTTGAATCAATTGAGCAAAAGTCCCTGCAGCCCGAACGAATTTGGCACCTTGGCCTGGATTCCATTCAATATTATGAATCGAAGTACCCACTGGTCACTACATATATAATTATCGCTAAGTCCCTGCCTGTGACAAGTGGATGATTGGCGCCCTCCGATATTTTGCTGCGCGATGGTCCCAATAGTTTGCTGATCGTTTTTCTTAGAAGTTGAAGTGTCACCAGGGCCAGTACTGGTCCTGCACGCCAGTGCCACCACCACGCTTGGTACCGGGGTGCTAGTGCCACACTTGGTACCGGGCCGCGCTAGCACCGGTACTGTCAGACGCTGCCGGCGCCAAGCGGCCACACGTAACAAACTTTTACCAATTTTGGGAGGCGGTGCGGGAAAAACCGCATGGCCCCAGACCACGCCTGCCCTCCAATCGACTTCGACTTTTCATACCCTACCGTAGGCCACAGCGGTCGACTTCGACTGACTTCTACGCTGCTATGCTCGACGACAACTTCGCCCTACGTTGGACACATGCACAAGCACACACACACGCACACACACGCGCACAACCGCACACACACACGCACGGACGCACGCACACACGCACACATGCACGCACACACACACACACACACACACAGACACACACACACACACACACACACGCGGTGAGTCCTTGGCCATCAGTACAGTTCGTCTTGGGCGGACTGTCCGGGTTCAACCTCCTAATGAGTCAGTGGAAGTCCGACGAAACAGTTTGGCTGAGTCATTTTGTGTTCTGTATAGCGAACATAACAACACTCATACATACTCAGGCTCAACCACACACACACACACACACATACACACACACACACACACACACACACACACACACACACACACACACACACACACACACACAAACACACCCACCCATGGCACACCATCTCTGCATCCTGAATGTTGGACACTGAGGCTTGAGCTGTGCAGCGTCAAGGCTTTCGAACGACCGCACCTTCATGATTGACGGTGAGTTTGTGGCCTTGGAACTATGAGAGAGAAAGAGTGCGTATGTGTGTGTGTGTGTGTGTGTGTTGCTTTCATTTTTTGTGGCTTTCAATTTTTGTGGCCTTGGAACTATGAGAGAGTGGGCATGTGTCCGCGCGTCTGTGTGTGTGTGCGTGTGTGTGTGTGTGTGTGTGAGAGAGAGAGAGAGAGAGAGAGAGAAAACTAACTACGACCCCCTCCTCCACCCACCACCAGCAAGTCTATTATCTGTCCCGACGAGTTTCAGACTGATCTGTGCTCCATTCGCACCAATAAAAAAAGAAATGGAATAAAAAAAACGGAAAAACCTTGCGTGCGCGCGCCAGAGAGAGAGAGCGAGCGAGCGAGAGAGCGAGCGAGAGAGAGAGAGAGAGAGAGAGAGAGAGAGAGAGAGAGAGAGAGAGTACCTACATCCTCCCCCCGAAAAGAAAAAAAGAACACCATCGTGTCTTATCTGTACCGATCGGTTTCATACCTGATTCCGGGTCCATGGGGACCCAAAAAAAAAAAGGACGAACAAACCGGAAAAACGGGTGCGCGTGTGCGTTTGTGTGTGTGTTTGTGTGTGAGATAGATAGATAGA